TAAACATTATCAGTTTAAAAAATATTAGTTTCTACTCAAAGGCAATAAATTATAATATATATTCAAGAAACTGTTTATTGTTAAGATCACAGGGACTTCAATGAAACTAATTTAAGTTGGCAAATGAAATATGTCAATATATAAAAATACATCATGACCAAGTAGAACTGACTGTCCCAGAAATAAAAAGTTGATCCAACACTTAAAAACAATGTAATTCACAGAAATCAATATTTTTTTTTTAAAGAGAGAGTGAGAGAGGAGACAGAGAGAGAGAATTTTTAATATTTATTTTTTAGTTATCGGCAGACACAACATCTTTGTTAGTATGTGGTGCTGAGGATCGAACCCGGGCCGCACGCATGCCAGGCGAGCGCGCTACCGCTTGAGCCACATCCCAGCCCCCGAAATCAATATATTTTAAAAAATGAAATACTCATTTCAAATGTAAAAAATGACTGTGCGTATAGAAAAACTTAGAATTCATATCCCCCCTTCTAAAGCTTATAATTCAATCTCAAAAATTCTCCCCCAAAAAGGTACAGAAGAAAGAAAATTCAATACCCATTTATGATCAAAAATCAAAAAACAACTCTCAAAATCGAGAATAAACCTGATAAAAAAGTATTTACAAAAAAGCCAAAAGCTGGGCTGGGATTATGGCTCAGTGGTAGAGTGCTCACCTAACACTTGTAAGGCCCTGGATTCGAACCTTAGCACTACATATAAATAAATAAAATAAAGGTATTGTGTCCACCTACAACTGAAAAAAAAAAAAAAAAAAAGGCCAAAAGCTCACAGTACACATGGTAAAGACAATGAGACTTGGAACAAGGCACTCTTTTTCAGTTCAGCAGTAGAGGTCATTGTACAAAGGCATGGGGGGAAAAATAGCCCACAGATCAGAAATGAATGAAACTATATTTGTACATAATATGATTGCCTATGCAGAAAAAGCAAAGAATTTAAGGAAAGCTACTAGGACTACCAAGTGAGGTTAGCAAGATCAATGTGTAAAAGTCAACTATACTTGTACACAGCAGCAATAAACATTTAGAAACTGAAATTTTAAATTACCATTTATACCAGCAGCAAAAATGCATGAAATCCTCCTCCTCCCAAAATATATAAAGTCTGTATAGTGAAAAATATAAATTACTGATAAGAATCAAAGAAAAAAGATAACACGATGCCCTTTTTTAGGATTGAAAGATTCAGTGTGCCAGCAATCTACATGGAAAAGGACAACTAGAATAGCTAAAGCATTTTTGAAAACAGAACAAAGATGGAGGACTTCCACCTGATTTCAAAAACATAAGGGGGAATGCAGTTGTACCTCCATGGTAGAGCGCTTACCTAGCATGTTCGAAGCACTTGGTTCAATCTCCAGTACCACATAAAAGTAAATAAAGGTATTGTGTCCACCTACAACTACAAAACTAAAAAAAAAAAAAAGACTAGAATAAAAATACTCTGGTCTTGGTGAAATGATAGACCCATAGGTGAAAATCAGTGAAAAAATATTGAGTACAAAAACAACCATATACATATATAAATATATAGTAAATTTTTTGAGAGGGGTACAAAGGTTATTCAACAGAGAAAGGATAGGACAATCTTTTAAACAAATAGTGTTGGGATATCTATATGTCAAAATACCAATCTACCTGCTGGGCATGGTGGCAAATACCTATAATTTCAGCTGTTCACAACACTGAGGCAAGAAGAACTCAAGTTTGAGGCCAGCCTGAGCAACTTAGCAAGACTGTCTCAAACTAAAAAGGGTTAGGGATGTGGCTCAGTGGTAGAGCCACCTGGCTAGCATGTCTGAGGTTCTGGATTCAAAATTAAAACATGAACCTTAACTCATATACCAAAGTTAACTTAAAATGGATTGTGACTTAAATGTAAAACATAAACTACTAAATATCTGTAAGAAAATCCTGATACTTTGGCTTAGGCAAAGATTTTCTTGAATATTAAAAAGTATAATCCTTAAAAGAAAATTGAAAATATTAGACTTATGAAAATTTATTTACTCTTCAAAAGATATTATGAAAATTTAAATAGTCATAAACTGTGAAAAATATTTGCAAAACACATCTGACAGGGCAACAAACAAATATCTAGAATATATAACATCGAGAAAGCAACCAACTTTCCAAAATATGGGCCTAAGAATTGAACCGACATTTTACCTAAGGAGATAAATGAAAAACAAGGGAGATGAAAATGTACTCCACATCATTAGCCATCAGGATAATGCAAATAAAAATGAAAGATCACTACACACCTTAGCTATTTCAAACAGAAAACAAAACCTGACATTACCAAGTGCTGAGGAGGAGGTAGAGCAATTGGAATTTTTGTACTTTGGAGTCGGAATGCCAAACGGTACACTTTGTAAAAAGTTTTGGCAGTTTGTTATAAGGTTAAACATACACTTACTGTATGACCCATTGTATGGATATAGCATATTTTTATTTACCCACTTAGCAGTCACCAGACTTTAAGGAATTTTTTTTTCCCTTTGGGCTATTATGTTATGAAGTTTGTGTACAAATTTTAGTGTGGTCATGTTTTAATTTCTCTTGCTAATATGCCTAAGAGCACCACTGGTTATAGTTAACCCTGTTAAACTGTTTTAGGAGCTGCCAGGCTGTTTTTCTAAGCATATGTACTAGCTTTATTATTTAGCATTCTCACCAACAGTGAATGAAGGTTACAATTTCCCCATTCTTGCCAGAACTTGCTATGTCTTCTTTATTATGGCCATCCTGGTTGGTTAGAAGAGACATTTTTACAGTGATTTGATTTGCATTTCTTAGATGGCTCATGATGCCAAACATAGTCATTTGGGGCTGTTTGACTATCTCCTATGGTAATTTCTACTTATTCTTTACCCATTTTTAAAATTTTGGTTATTGAGTTATAGGAGTTATTAGTGTATTCTGGACTCAAATCCTATATGAGAAATGGTTTCCAAAATTTCTTTTCACTCCATTCGTAGTCTTTAAAATTTTTTTAAAATATTTATTTCTTTAGTATTTAGGTGGACATAGTATCTTTATTTCACATTTATGTGGTGCTGAGAACCGAACCCAGTGTCTCACGTATGCTAGGCGAGTGTGCTATCACTTGAGCCACATCCCCAGGCCCAGTCTTTCACTTTTTTTTTTTAAGCTTTCAGCGGACACAACATTTTTGTTTGTATGTGGTGCTGAGGATTGAAACCGGGCCACACGCATGCCAGGTGAGCAAGCTACCGCTTGAGCCACATCCACAGTCCTCTTTCACATTTTTTAAAAAATATTTTTTTAGTTGTAGATGGACACAATATTTATTTATTTTTATGTGGTGCTGAGGATTAAATCCCAGTACTCCACATATGCGAGGCAAGTGCTATACCACTCAACAACAGTCTTACATTTTTGATATCTCCTTGAAACATGTAAATATGTTTTTAATTTTTATGAAGTCCAATTTCTATTGTTTCTTTTCTTTTTTTGGTGTCTTAGCTAAAACACAAACACCTAATCCAGTTCTATTTTCTTCTAAGTTTTATTTATTTATTTTTGGTGATGCTGGGGATTGAACCCAGGGTTTTGTGCATGCAAGGCAAGCACTCTACCAACTGAGCTAAATCCCCAGCCCCTTCTTCTAAGTTTTATAGCTTTACCTCTGACATTTAATTCTTTGATTCATTTTGAATTGATTCTTTTGCATGTGGATATCCAGTTATCCCAACTCTATTTGTTGGAAAGTAGGATGGATAAATTTTTTTTAAGAGAATGTTTCTCTCTGAAGGGAAAAAAAGGTGCAGAGTAGAAATTATAACTAATACCTTAATCAAATATGAATATTTTGCTGCAAAGAATGCTATATCAGGTAAAAGGGATATAAAGCAAGTAAATGAGCTAAAAGTAGTAATGGAAACATTCTCTCTCACCTTCAATATTTGCCCAATTTATCCAGCACTGAAAGGAATAACACGAAACACTTAATTTCTTTAAATACAGAATATATTAGTACATTAGTCAAATGTAACAACAAGGAGTAACAGACACTATAGATGTGAACCTTGCTTTAAATAAAGTTCAGGTATAAAACTTCATTTATATAAGCAATAAATAAATGGTGATTTTCAAACAAAAAACCCCATAAGACTGAAACTTCTAGTAATAGGTTCTTGTATAAAATATAACACTGATTATATTTCAAAACATATGTCTCTGAGGTAGAATAAATAAATACATCAAGACAGACTTTTTAAGGGGAATTTCAACTTTTACTTTGTAATTATTATTATTATTTTTTCCGGTGGCATTGGGGATGAAACCCAGGGGCATTTTACTACTGAGCTATCTCCAACTCTTATTTTGGGGGGGTGGTACCAGGGATTGAGCTCAGGGGCACTCGACCACTGAGCCACATTCCCAGCCTATTCTGTATTTTATATTTAGAGACAGGGTCTCACTGAGTTGCTTGGTGCCTTGCTGTTGCTGAGGCTGCCTTTGAACTCGCCACCCTCCTGTCTTAGCCTCCCTAGCTGCTAGGATTACAGGTGTGCATCACTGCGCTCGGATCTTTTTTTATTTTTTGCGACAGGGTCTAAGAAGCTGAGGTTGACCTCAAACTTATGATAGTCTTCCCTCCGCCTTCCAAGTTGCTGGAATTACAGGACTGTACCACTACACCCAGCAATCTTTTGTAATTTAAAATTTTATATTAGCATTAACTTTACTTTGTGACACTCAATGACAAAAAAAGACATGTTTTATAAGGCAAGTGAGTAATATGTTCTTGTTTCTTTTATCCATTAGCATGCTCCTTTTTGTGAAAATTAGGTACCTGCATGCTTTTCTACTTATCTTTTCAAATGTGTGAGAGAGTGGAGAAAATTATTCTTAACATGCTTTCCACCTTTGGATTTAAACTCCTAAATTTCTGAGGGACAAATACCATTATGTAATTAAGACAAATTTTCCATATCCATTGTCTAAATAGACCATTATTTTCTAGTTTATTAATCACATGCTATGATTCTATTAGTCAATCAATATTAGTATGTTTGATTATTTTAGTCTCCCTGAAAACACATCTCAGAAAGAACAGAAGTTGAAATAAAGGCTTCTTCCCAGTCTCTGATGAGCACTGGGTTCTTCCAACAGGAGTCAAGTGGTAAAGTATTATATTATTCAAAAGAAATATTTCAAAATCCAGGGACTTGGATAGTAAAAACCACATCACCTTTACTCTTCCCAGACTGCATTTTCCTGCTTGGATATAACACAAAGAACAATCTCATGGTTCACATACTTACCTTCTGTCTGACAAAGTTTTTCTATTTTAGGGTACCCCGGGACAAGGGGATCTTTGTGGTAATTGCTTTTTACTTTAGCCTAATGTTCAAAGCACAACTTAACTTCCATTTTTAAATATGAAATATAAAGTATTTTGCTAACATTCTTAAGAATTATAAACCAAAGCTCTTTAAGAAAATGTTAGTTAGCAAAAGAGCCCATGTTTGGGTGATTCTGAATGGTTGTTACTCTTTGAACAAGTCAAAAGTGTATCAGTTCAAATCACTCTTATAGGAGTAACTTCAAAGATAGCACCTGTTGGTGGTCTGTTCTGACAGACTTACTACTTTGTACAGTTTGGAAAACTCAAATGCTATGGGCCATTCCAAGACATGAGCAGAGTTTATAATAATATTCAGTAAGTCAAAATTGCAAAGTTGTCTACTGTGCAGAATGGTCAATTTATAAAATATGGTAGAGTGAGCTTTAAAAAAAATGTTGACCAAATATTCTTAAGAAAAATGGTAATATGTTTTAAGAGCTCTCATTTTAATGAATATCCATCATTACTTAGCAAATGTCTAAATTTATTGGTATTAGTGAAAGTTAAACATTTGTAATCCTGTAAAGACCGTGTTTCTTTGACAAAGTCTTCCTTTCAGTTCTTTCTGAATGGTGTCTTAAAGAGTACTGAGCTACATCTTTAGCTCTGATACTTAAGAAACACATTATTATATCCTTTAGTAGCTTTACAAAATGATTGATGGCACAAACTTCTCCATCAAAGAGATGCTCATTTAAATCTACAAAAAGATAAGTATGCCCAGAAAGCTCATGTAATATTTTCTCCTGAAGATACAATTCCCTGTGTTTAGGAACTAGTTCAAAAACTACCATTCTTGAATGGGTTCTTAGAACTTGTTCACAAATATTTATTATCTGACATAGACTTTCTGAAGGAAAATGCAAACCATTCTTCTTTTTAACACATAACAGTGAACCAATTTTAGAGGCTTTAAGATCCGATGCATACAGTGCACTGATACAGTCTTCACAAGTTAAAATAGCTGATAACCTACTTGCAATATAACCAGCACAACAGGTAAGACTTCGCTTTTGATCTGACAGGTCTAGTAATGCCTCACTTAGTGAACAATTAGACCAGTCTTGACAAATATCTTCTTTGTGAAAAAGCGACTTCATAACCCTGACACCATACTGACGTTGAACTGTCCAGAGGGCCAAATCTTTTCTTCGAGCAACTGAAATGTCAAAGATGCTTACTTCACTTAGAAAAACTTCATCTTGAAATCTGTATCTGGTCTCTAAATTCTGGTAAGCTTTTTGGAATGCCATGCAGGTAAAGCTGGAGCTGGGTACTAATACCTGCCTAAGCATCTTTAGAAATAATTCCAGATGGTCTTGACTGAATTTGTAAGTCAGGAGATAAGGGAAAGGCATGACTTTTGGGAAAACATAATTTTGGTAGAGCCATTTTAAGCTCTCAGCATTAAGCAAAAATCCCAGGAACCCTAATTTCCGCTTACCTTTAAGGATCTGATTATTGCTAGTGTCAGATAATGTAAGAAAAATAGTCTTGGCTTCAATTAATACATGATTTATTTTACTAAAAGTTTCAGGTAACAGAGGTCCTTTAAGACCCTTTCCATAACAGTTTCTGCTATTAAAAACGTCAAACAGGTTGTTAATTAAACGTAAAAAATGGATAGTACCAATACAGTTTTGAAAAGGAGGAAGGCCCACTGACAGCAAATATTCTAATGCGCTGGCTACACTCTCACTAAAGAGTTGAGCAGCACCATTCATTTTCAATACATGATTTTTCAAATTTGCATGTTTTCTTGGGATTCCCTTCATATATGATAATTCCTGTTCTCCTAGAGCTACTAATTCCACAAGGTGCTGCCAATGTGCTGTACCATTAATAAATTGAATGCTTTGAAAATTCTGAAATGCATTTCTTATTAATCTCAGCAAGTGGCAAGAATCAAAGAAGTATGCAATCTGTTGACTAGAAGATGAAGGATGCTGAAATGTACACTTCATGTTGTCTCCATCAATATGTATCCCCAATGCTTTTGCCATTTGAACACTGTGAGCTGTAGCATCAGACGTAACAGCCAGAACTGTGATCCCTATGTCACTCAGTTTGCCAATAGTCAGACGAAGCAGCTGAGCTTGCAAGTATCCAGATGTTCTGTTTACAAAAAAGTAACCGAGAGGGGTTCTCCAATGACCAAAAATACCCACTGCCATTAACAAAATGGTTTCTGAGGCAAGTGGTGTTTCATCAGCATCAAGTTTCCCAAGACCAAAGTCCATAAACCCTTGCAAACTGTTACTGCTGGGATCCCACTGAAGTTGTTCCTTGAGAGAGATACCTTTTATGATCAGTGAACAGTACTGATATAGCTGGTCTCCATTCTCTACTCTTTGTTGAAGAAAAGAAAAAATATTGCTGTTGAAACCTGGACTGGGTTTGCATTTGGATAACCACCTAGAAAATATAAAATTAAAACACAAACTTAAATAAGGAAATAAAAAGAAAAAAAGGAACAAGACTTAAATGTTACTAAATGTTACCTCAAATCCCTGTAGAAATAAAAGTCAAGTATCCAAATTATACATTTCAAGAAGATATTCATAGATACAATGAAATAATAAAGAAACACAAACTAGGATCTTAATATGAAAACATACATTATTTTTCTCATTTCTTCCCTTTTTTTTGGTACTGGGGATTGAACCCAGGGTTGCTTAACTGCTGAGCCATATTCCCCAGTCTTTTTTATTTTTATTTTGAGAGAGGATCTAACTATTTTCTTAGGGCCTCTATAAATTGTTGAGATTAACTTTGAACTTTCAATCCTCTTGCCTCAGCCATCTAAGTCACTGGGATTACAAGTGTGTACCACCATGCCTGGCTCATTTACTCTTCAAATAGTATACATATCAATTATCTAGCATGTTCTGATCAATCTTTTTACAATATGGATAGTAAACCAATCTTGTCTGTACATTTAACTGAAAGAAGAAACTGAAGAAAGTGGGGGAACCTTTGAGTACATCTAGTTTATCTACCTCATTTTACAGATTAGGAATGTGGGAAAAGGGAGTGGTTGAGCAACTTTGCCTGTATTGTGCTATTAGTTATGGACAAATTTGAAACCCAACTTTCCTGATACCCAGTCCTTCGGTGCTTTGCTCACTCCTTGCAGCCTCAAAATTACACTGTAAGAAGCTTTAAGGTATCTGCATGTGTTGGTTCTTATACAACGTACCTGCATTATTACCTTAGGAGCTGTTTCATAGTACCCTGAACTTCCCAGCTACTAATCAGTCCTTCCTATTATTGTTAGTGTCCAGAATTCTTCTTTCTTATAATTTACTAAAATTTGTTTCCCAGAAAGAAAGCAGCCATATTTATTTCCGTTGTGATTTTTCCTTTGACTCATGTGCAATTTTATTTTATTTTGGGGGTACTGGGAATTGAAGCCAAGGGTGCTCTGCAACTGAGCTACACACCCAGTCCTTTCTTATTTTTTATTTTGAGATAGGGTCTCACTAAGTTGCCCAGATTGACCTAGAACTTGCAGTCCCATCTCAGTCAAGACAGGGCTTTCCAAATAGTTTAGTTGCAACCTAGAAGTTTTGTAAATAAAACTCCTACCATGCACTTTCACATACAAAGAAATATAACCTATACTCTAATGGCAATTATGATACAATAAATTGATTTCGGGCACAGATGGTTTTGATATAGATGCAGTTATAGGATGCAAAAGACATTTTGATAACTATTTAGGAGACAAAAGTATATATCAGTTGTTAATATTTTAAAATACAACAGAAATAGTAACACAGTGAGAAAACAGAGTAATGCTACAGCCCATTAGTATGTTGGAAACCCTTCACAGGTATGTCATCAAGTTTTAACTGTTTAAAATTATTTTACATTAGTATTCTCAAATGAACATCAAGATGTAAATGTGCTACATATGCAAGAGTATGCATTGAAACTACTTCATGTCTCTCTGTAAAAGTTTTATTTTAAATGGGATTTTAAAAAAATGCCTTGTTCGGTTGGGCTTGTTTTCTAAATGAAAATCTAAATAGTATCTTAATGTCCACAGGTACTAGAATAGTGTCTTGAAAATCAGGAAGAGGGCTGGGGATGTGGTTCAAGTGGTAGCGCGCTCGCCTGGCATGCGTGCGGCCCGGGTTTGATCCTCAGCACCATATACAAACAAAAGATGTTATATCCGCTGAAAACTGAAAAATAAATATTGAAGAATTCTCTCTCTTTCTCTCTCACTCTCTCTCACTCTTTCTTTAAAAAAAAAAAAAGAAAAGAAAAGAAAATCAGGAAGATAGATAAGTAGACTGGATTTATTTTGTGAAGGTACATCTAAGAGTTAAACCAAGAGTGTAAGTTACAGCAGCATAGGAGGCAACTGATTTTTCTCAAACTTTCTTCTCTCCCAAAACTGGAGGAAAAAAATTCTGAACATAAAAAATTACATTCTTTTCCTTCTTTTAAAAAAATTATTATTTAAAAAAAGTGTAAAAAAATTTTAAAAAAAATCGGTTAATATTTCAGGGAGTCTAGGAAACTAGATATGTATGCATACCTAGATGTAGTTTTCAAAAATTATACTGGGTTTATTTTTTTTTTTTCATTTAATGTTGGGAGTCATTTTTCCATGTCTTTAAATATTAGCCTACAATCACATGATTAAGAATATTAACTGGGCTGGGGATGTGGCTCAAGCGGTAGCGCGCTTGCCTGGCGTGCGTGCGGCCCGGGTTCGATCCTCAGCACCACATACCAACAAAGATGTTGTGTCCGCCGAGAACTAAAAAATAAATATTAGAAATTCTCTCTCTCTCTCTCTCCCCTCTCTCCTCTCACTCTCTCTTTAAAAAAAAAAAAATATTAACTAAACCATGTTAAAAAACATTTAGGTTGTTTTAATTTTTTAGACAATATAAATAGTGCAATTACATATTAAACACACTTATTTATGTCATTTGTGTAATTTGTAGGAATAGGATGCAAAGATAATTTATGCATGAATTGGGATAAATTAACTCAACTTTAATAGGAAATTAAAATCAAATTTTGGATCTCAAGTGCACATAATTGGGTGTGCACATTTGAAACTATCCTTCAGAAAGTTCCCACCAATTTTAATTTATATTCTCATCAACATACTTTTAATTAACTAATATCTAGAAGCTTCGTTATGGAATGATTATACAAAGTTAGCTGGGTGGCTTAAAACTACTTGGGGAAAAAAGGAGTCCTAGAACTCTGTAATACTATCTATTTTTCTGTAAGACTATAAGCTCTTCCCACCATTTTGTTTATTTCTGAGACTCACTGCATCCAATCTATATGAGAAGTTAATTTGTTAAACTGCAGTGAATATGAACAAAGAAAATTAGAAACAGAGGAATATAATTAAGGAACAAATGTTCTATCACTGTGTAACTATGACCAAAATCACACTAAGTGTATCATTATTATAACAAGGAAATCTAAGGACATGATGACATAATTCAAAGAATTTATGAAAGTAAGCTACCTTAAAGACCCAAAGCCCTGGAATTAGAAAAATTACTGTTCTGAGAAGGCTGTGGACATAAATAATTCAAAGAGAATTAAAAAAAGGGTCCAATATCAGCACAGAAAAAAATTATTAAGAGATATGTTTGATGAAGGTAAGCATTAGAGAAAGACAGGTGACAATCAGAAATCAGTGAGATGTACCTACCTAACCAAGATTTTAAAAAATTTAAGGCTGGCTTGGTTTGTCCTCATCTAACATTAACCATCTATTTGTTTTTTCCATCCAAAAAAACCTAGTTTTGAAAACCCTTCTGGTGCCACATTTTCCAAGTAACTTGTTTTTTTCTGGCCTCTAAGATGACTGTGAACATTTCCTCTTTCCACCACTGCTTTTGTCAAGATCATCAATGACTTCTAGTTTGCAAAACCCAAGAGTCAATTCTCTGTCCTCATCTTACCTGATCTGATCTCCCAGCAGCATTTGACATAGTGGACTACTCCCTCCTTGAAATACTTTCTACCCTTGGCTTCCAGGCCATCACAACCTCCTGGTTTTCCTCCTGCCTCACTGGCCGATCCTGATCAATAAATATTTATTGAATAAATATTAAATATAATGGTTATAAAGATCTATTACTTAAAGCACAGCTGTCTTAAAATATAGTTTTTTAAATGTAATTGTAATAAAAAACAAATGTTTGACCTTCCAGATTTTCTAGGATAAAATCTAGGTATCAGCAAAATTTTATCAAGAAATAGATTGGAGAAAAAAAAAAGTCTAGGCTGGGGGTGTAGCTCAGTGGTAGAGCACCTACCTGTCTTGGCTCAATCCCCAGCATAGCACAAAGTAAGTCTGGGAGGTTATTTACCAAACTGTTAAGAGTAGTTACCTTATGAGATTAGGGAAGGAGAAAGATTAGAGATGTTTTTCATTTTCTAGTATTTAAATAATTATTTACTGTTTGAATGTTTAATAACAAGCATGCATTACTATAACCCTAAACAATGTAACTTAGTTACAGCCAAAGTATCCAAAGAAATAAGTAATGGCATTAGTGGAATTATAAATATAAATGTGCCAGGTTACAACAAAGACTACAAATACCAAACTCCCATGAAGAAAGAAAAGCATGAAATAGAACTACTAGGAAAGACTTAATCTAGCTAGGTATTGGTACAGAACTATAGGGAAGGAAGAAAAACATAGAAAATAAAGATGAGAAGTCATGTGAAAGGTCTTACACAGACCATCATGAAAAACCAGTAAGGAATGCTTTAGGTAAAATTAATATGGGAGAGGACTGAACTTAAAAAGGTATAAGACAAGAAATATAAACAAAATGTCTATAAATATGTCTGCTAAGTGATTGACATTTGTAAATAGGTATAACACCAAGCCTATATGATAACCTCACACTAGGAACAGAGTTAGTTTTATTATACAAATATTCACCTCAATGTATGAAATAGCAATTATAACCAAAAAGTCAAAATAATATGAATGTCCAATGGTTAGATAAGGGTTAAATAGGGTAGGACCAACTAATATTATACAGCTATTAAAATTTACCTAGGAAGAGTTCAAAATAACAGATAAAAGGCATAAATAATAAAGTGATACAGAAGTTTATGTAGAAAAGATCATAACTATGTAAAACCTAATAAATCTATGCACATAAAAAAGACTATAGGAAATACTCTAATGATAATTGTATATGCTGTGTAGAAAAAAAAAGTATTCATTTTTTTTCTTCCTTTTCTCTCATTTCCTATTTTTTAATTTTTTTTTTTTTTTTTGGTATGTAGGAGAATCTTCCTTCATTTCTTAAAAAAGAAAGTCTGTTAAACTAGTGATAAAAAAAGAGCCAAGATTGAACATTAAATTTGTAAGACATTACTAGAGAATCATTGTTATTCACCTCATTTATAATTGTCACACTGACAATTATAAATGTATCTATATATTCTGAGCACAAAACCTGAGAAGATATTTACTAAAATCTGGTCCCTGAACAACTTGCAGTGGCAACAACAGCAGTGCTTACAGAAAATGCAGATTTTTTTTGTGCTTTGCCTTTAATAAATTGTATTAATCAGAACTGTGAAAGATTTTCCAAAATAGTGAGATATTAGAACTACTAAAGTGTACTAGAAATTTCAATATTTCAAGATTCAAATTTTACTACCCAGAGTGTCTCTAATATTTGAGACGCAAAAACCTTTGTCAGCCTATGTGTCCTCATCTTGTGGGTGAAAACACTGCTGTTGTGATAATATGCAAATACTACCTAGAAGTTTTTAAACAGAAAATGGAGTAATTAATGGGAGTATGGATACTAATAGGCTTAATGTACAAAATTCAATAAAAGAACAATTTATTTGTTTCATTTAACATCCAAAAATTAATTACTTACGTTCTGAGGATAGAAGAATGAGGCAGTTTAAGAATCTTTCTTACATAATCATAGACTTTGCTACTACACAAATAGAGTGTACATGCAAATTGTTTCATTTCGGTGGAGTACTCAGCTGTTTCTCGCCAATTATACATCTCCCAATTAAAATCTGTTAAAATAACATTTATTGTTATAATAAAAAATGGGATAATAAATTTTCAAGTACATATCACAGTATTTGGATACAAAAATGACTGGACATGAAAATTCGAATACAAATAATCACATTTAAACTGAGTTTGTTCACAAGTTAATATCCGCTCAGGGCACCCTAACCAATTTACCATGCTCATCTCCATCATTCAATAGAAAGAGGGAAGAAAACAGTTTCTATTTAAATCATGTTTTACTATTCATTGGCAGCCAGATAAGAAATTTTTAGAGGAAGAGGGAAGAAAATGAAATACTATATTTCACAAGTATGCCATATGCTCTAATCTTGTACCAAAGACAGTTTAGTAATAAATGATTTTTAAGTAATAACAGCACATTTTTTTGAAGCTTCACATAATGGTAATATCCCACTTTTTTGCAAAAAAAATTTGGGATAAAAATCTGTAATGAACCAGGCATGGTGGCTCACAAGTTCAATGTCAGTCCTCAGCAATTTAAGGAAGCCCTAACTACCTTATAGAGACTCAAATTAAAAATAAAAAGGGCTGGGAATGTAGCACAGTGGTAAAGCACACTTGAGTTCAATTCCCAGTACAAAACAAACAAACAAACAGAAAAACAACATAATACCTGCAACCATTATGAAGTGAAATATGGTAACTGGATCAAATTAAGCCTCTAGAGTATGAGAACATTTTTGTTTTATTTTTACCTGGTTACTATTTATCTGAGAGTGAAAATTAAATGAAGAGAACATTTCTAGGGATAGGGTATTATTCAGATTGAAAAGATCATCTTGCCTAACAGTGAAAGAGAAAAGGAAAAAAAAAATCTTCTGTTCCTGTGGAGATTCCGATTCTTACTTCAGTTCCCCTCTCTTGGGGTAACATAGAATATTCTCCCCTATTTTTCTAGAAATAGGAATAATTCTTTCACCAGAATATAAATCTAAAATCTCTGCTACTTTCAAAGAATAAGTTGGCAAATCTTATTTTACCCCTCTTCCTGGTTCAATAGAAGACTAAGTAGTCTTTCCATGGATTTACATATCTATAGAATATTTTAGGGAAAAAAAAATTGGGAGACTCATATAATTTCCAAGCTCAAAGACACTTTTGCAAATTATCTAGGTCAACTCTATTGCAACAGGACTTTGGTAATAAATTATGTAGCAATTAAAACTGTTTAGAAACCAGGGGCAGTGGCACATGCCTGTAATCCCAGTAACTTGGGAGGCAGAGGCAGGAGCATCACAAGTCAATGGCCAGTCTCAGCAACTTAAGGAGACCCTCAGCAATTCAGGAAGACCCTGTCTCAAATTTAGAAAAAAAAAAAAAAAAAAAGAACTGGGGATGTAGTTCAGTGCCCCTGCATTTAATCCCCATTACAACAAATAAACAAACAAAAAACCTGTTTATAAAGAATCTGCAGTAGCATAGGTCAAAGGTATTTCAAATAAAGTTCAGAAAGTTGTATAAAACCATACGATTTCATTTCTCAGTAGTAGTATTATGCATTATTTTATCATTTAAATACTTCTCTGCTTTTCCTATAATAAATGCTATTTTTATAACTGGAAGAAATATAAAAGGACTTCAAGATTACTTTTCATTCTTCTTGTTTAAACTACGAGGATTTTTTTTTTACTTCCCAGTAGAAAGCATGTTTTTATAAGTAATGGCAAATTAAATATTTAATGGTATTCAGGAAAAAAGTTATTTCATAAATATTACAGGAACTGGGGGAGATACCTGAAAATTGTGCTCTTAGGAGACACTCTGTTTCTTCAGAAAGTAGTTTTTCTTCTACAAGTGAATCAATTAACTGTAGGCCCTTTCTTTTCTTGATCATCTTGTAGTTTTTTACAGAGATAAGTCTTCTTTTAGACACTTGTAACATTTGTTGCACCTCAGCCAGTTTCTCAGCACCTCCTGTCCAGGGCCTCCTTAAACTATAGTTATGGTCCTCACTAGCAACTTCTTGAGAATTGTCTGGAAGTGGTTGTTTTAGGATTTTCTGTCTTGCTTTACCTTTAAGGTGAACACCCTGAAGAATCTATGACAGAAATATAAAAATACAGTTATTTTAGAAATCATCAAGCATGAGATTATCTGTAAAAATAGCACTAAACACAAAACATGCACCTGGTGGCTGTGGAGAGTTAGATGTGAAGGAAAGAGTCATAAACTCTGAATTTTTAAAATATGTAGTATACAGAACAATGCACAAGGTTGTGGTTTGTTTATTCTTTGCACCTATATAGAAGTATTAATGTGATGCTGAAGTTTCTGAAGTAACTAACTATAGAAAGGTGGTAGTAATTTGGGAAGGCTTCCTGGAAGTGAGTTTTAAATAGTTCTTTGAAAGAACAATAATATGGATTAAGGGAGGGGACAGGAAGTTATTTGTGGAAAAAAAGAAGGCAGGGAGGGAACAGAGGCTTTGGAATCAGGACTGACCTTTGAATCCCAGTTCCCTTACTCATTAGCTGTCATTTAAACTCCACAATACCTGTGTCCTCATGTGTGAAATGTGGATAAAACAGGGTTGTCTTGAGGATACAATAATATAATTTGCATAAATCTCCTGTTCTAATGCCAGGCCATCAGTGGTCTCAATAAATAGTAGTAATTATTGATTTCATACAAAATTATGAAAGCAGATGTCAGTTTATCAAATTGGAAGTAAGTAAGTATATGTGGTTTGAAAGAATTCAGGGCAGGCAGAAATACATAGATTAATTAACAGGAAGCTCATGGAACATATGAATTTGACATCAACTACTTGGGGAATGAGATAAACAACACTGAAAGAAGGAGACTCCAATGCGTTAAGAGGAAGATAAAACTAATGTCACAATAGAAGTCAAGAGCTAGGCAAGGTGGTACATGCCTGTAATCCCAGCAGCATAAGAGGCTGAGGCAGGAGGAATTCAACTTCAAAGCCAGAGTCAGCAACAGCAAGGCTCTAAACAACTCAGTGAGACCCTGTCTCTAAATAAAGTACAAAATAGGGCTGGGGATGTGGCTCAGTGGCCGAATACCCCTGAGTTCAATCCCTGGTACTCGCCCCACCACCACACACAAAAAAGTCCATGGCCAAAACAAAAACAAAACTAATGTCAGAATAGAAGTTAAGAGCCAGGAACGGTGGAGCACACTGGTAATCCCAGAGGCTGGGGGGGAGAATCTCAAGTTCAAAGCCAGCCTCAGCGACCCTGGGGCACCAAGCAACTGGTGAGACCCTGTCTCTAAATAAAAATAGGGCTGGTGAAGTGGCTCAATGCCCCTGAGTTCAGTCCTCAGTACGCCCCCAACCAAAAAAAATAAAAGAATAGAAGAGACTATCACAGATTATGCAAAAAGTGAAAACCATGTTGAAAGGTTACAGTTAAAGGGTAAAAAGATAAAAACAATAAAAAGAAACAAAAATGTAATGTCAATATGGATGACTCATTCACAGAAACTCTCTCATTTTCTATATATTTCTTCCTTATACCAATGCTATTAATTAGGTATATGTTTGATCAAGATCAATAACATTACTAGGAAGAGCCAATAATGAGCACTTATTCAACAAAAGCCTGATTTTTAAGACTGCTTATACCTACTAGTTGATTTTTGTGATTAAACTTTTTCAAAAGCTCCAAAGCAGAATGCTATTATTACATATAGACTAAAAACAACAAAAAGAAAATTAATTTTTAAAGCGTTCAAAATCCATTACAGGATTTAATACTTGGGATGTTCTCACCTCTGCAAATTCTAGCTGAAATGTGATCTGCCTTGATTTTTTTCAAGGCTCTGTAAAATTTAGCTTTGTTTGCAACTGGATTTAAGTACCTTGTATAGAGAAACAGAAGGCACAGCTCCTTTTTTCAGCTTTCTTCTTATGCCATAGGACTCAAAATCACTTTCTTGAAAATGTTTAGAACATAGTATAGCACCTGGTCCTGGAATCCAAATCTTTTTGCTTCTGGGGTCCACACGATTAACAGCTCTGATCCATTTTGAGCGTTGTATGGTATCAGCTGGAAATCTACAGCAATCATATTAAAGTGCCATTAACATGAAGATACTATAGTAATACTACAGTAGTATTTTTATATAAACCCATTTCTTAACTGCTGTCTATAAATATAACATCCAGTCAAGTAAGTTTAATTTATTTGATTTGTTTTGAAAGTTCTTTGATTTCTTTTTATGAATTCAGAAGTTCAACAGATAAGTACTTATGTGTTTTAGTTTAATGAGGACAGTTTCTTCTACTTTAAGAGAATCTATTGTCTTTAAATGGTTGAATAATACATGTGGGTGATGACTTTAAATCATGTTCACAAATGCTTTGGCACTCCTCCCTTCAATTATCTTTCAATTCTAATTCTATCTTCTAATTCTCCTCTCCTTGAGTAAGACCAGGAAATACTTTAGCAAAGAATTTTGCTAAAGCAGAAGTGACAGTGAGAAATCAGACACCAGATTATAAAAGGCATAGAAGCTTCCTTCTTTCAACTGAATGCTTTTGCCCTGGGGAAATTATCTGTAGCTTTATAAGCAGTCCTGTGGAGTGGATTTCTTGGGGAGAAATTTAGGCCTCCAGCCAAAGGCCATGGAAATTAGCCTTTTTGAAAACAGATCCTTCAGCCCTAGCCAGGACTTCAGGTAACTGCAATCTTATGAGATACCATCAAATTCATCAAATCCAGCTAATCCACTCCTCAATTTCTAACTCTTAAAAATGTGTTGAGATTATGTTTCCACTGGATTTTGATGTCATTTCCATGGAGCAATGGAAAAAGTACATTCCTTGTCCTGTTTCCCACATTTTTTTAAGGTATCTTTTTTCCCCCTAGCCTTGAACACATATTAAAAAAAAAAATGTGTGTGTGTGTGTGTGTGTGTGTATATACACATATATATATATAAATTAGGTATATATATATATTTCAAATATATGTATTTATGTTTTAAATATGTATATATATATATATATATATATATATATATATTCTTGCATTTCTCTTATTTTTTTTTTAATTCCAGCCAAATTAATGTTTGGAAACTTTTGAAATTAACAAAGAAAATCACAAACTAGCCCAGTGCAGTAGTTTATGCCTGTAATCCCAGCTACTCAGGAGGCTGAGGCAGAAGGATTGCAAGTTAAAAGCCAGCCTGTTCAATTTAGCAAGATCTAGCCTGAAAAATTTTAAAAAGAAATAAATAAATAAAAAGGTGCTCAATGGCAGAATGCTGGCTTCAATTCCTAGCACTGAAAGAAAAGAAAATCCCAAAACTAATCTTTTTGTACCCTCCTGTTGGATTCATCTTGGAAACAGACTTATACATGGTGTATGCCTACATATAACTTTTGCATATTTTAATATTTAAAAGCACACAGTTATTAGGTATTGAGACTGGTGAAAATTTCCTCAGATAATGGTTAGAAACAGAATGGTAAAACAACTCTGAGATACTCTAAATTATTTTAAGAAAGAACATGGAATTGGAAGGCTTATATTTAAGTGTCAATGACTTTTTAGAAGCTGTGTGGTCTTAGATACATGTTTCAATCTGAGTCTTCTCACAGAGCTGTAATAAGATATACATAAAACTACAAATGAATTCCAAAGCACTTTCTAAAGTGTATAATACTATCCAAAGTTTGTTCTGTCCTAGGAAGAATTAATTCCATTTCTGGGATTTTCATTTTACTGTTCCAGGAAAATAAAGATACTTGAACAAGAGCAAACAGAGAATTGTTTTACAAATAAAGGAAAATCACTTTATATTGAATTCTTACCTAATGGATGTTTATGAAGCATTCTAAAAAGCAGGCTGGTTTACCAAATTATGATTAGACCCATCCCTGATGCTAAGCTTCCCAAATGGTAAACCTGGCAAATACATGGAGTAGCTTGGGACACCTGGAGTCCCAGAGTAGTTACTATAAGTGAACTCCAAAGAGTTTTGTCATCTCTCTCTCTCTCAAAGTATTATAGAAGCATTTTGTATGCATAAAATGCCATGGAAAAGGTTGGCAAATACTGCCGAGTAATGAGTATGACTAATGAGATATAGAGTTCTGAAGAAAATTAAATTGGTAATATCTAATTCTAATTTTAAATAATTTGCCTTGTGATATATGTGTTACAGATTTCAGGGCATGTACTCAGATTTTTACATGGCGAGAGCTCCATGATCAAAAAAAAAAATAGTCTATGTTTACTGGCTTTAGGCAAGTAAACAGAAGATAGCAGTTTAAAAGAGAAGGGGAACCAACTGATCAGTAAAGGTTAGGAAGAATCAAGAAAGCACACAATTAAAACAACAAAAGACCATCCAAAAGACATAGCCCAAACTCCTTAACCTGGCATTTATTCCTATTTATTTCCTAATTATCTTTCCACTCCTCTACATTTTATCTGCACTCTCCATCTCTTTACCTTCTTCCTTGCTGTTCCTACTTAAGCGCTACCCATCTATCACTCCCTGAACCTTTTTTTTTTTTTCTTTTTTGTTACTGACTATTGAACCCCTGAACACTCTGCCACCGAGTTACATTCACATCCACAGGATCTCGCAAAGTTAATGCTCAGGACCTCACTAATTGGCCTTCAAGTTGAGATCTTCCTGCGTCTGCCTCCTGACTTGCTGGGATTACAGGTGTGCACCACCGCGCCCGATATGATGTTGTTTATCTTCTTATTAAATTACTTCCATTAGCTCTCTACATCTTATTAATATTTTAATAGGCTACCTCTCCAGGAGTACGCGTCTTCTATCCGTGAGGATCTACTTTACCTCCTCTTCTACTTCTTGGTGTATCTTTAACATTGATTTGAATGACCTACACCAACCTGCACTATAAATGGGTTCAGATGGGACTACTATGAAATTCTGCTCCCATTCTTGAGCAATATGAAATTTCTTTGACACGACCACATGACCACCCAGAATCGTACCGGCCTGTAGAGCTCGACCAACAATGCCGACAATTTGCAAGGTTAGGCTGCACAGGCCAAAACTGATCAGTACTCAAGCTCTCCAAGAAGCCACGTAGTCTAATGGGGGCGCATGCTTGCAACAGTTTTCCCAACTGTCCTCCCTTCTGATCGCCTCACTTTAAATGAGACCACTCCTTTTGAGTAACCTCACTCAAAATTCATTAGGCAAAGCGCAGTGGGAAAAGATCTGCAATTTGGAAGTAAACATTGAGGAAGAAGTGAGTGAGGAACCCCAACTTCAGACGCTTCTCACTTCCGCTCCCCGCCCCACGACACACACGTCACATCGACGGCGCGACGCAACGCCTGGCCCCGCCCCGCCACGGCCTACGCTCGCCAGGCTCTGCTGCGAGCTTGATGGCGGCGCGGCTGCTCTCACACGCACTGGTGGAAGGAGAGGCCGCGCTCTCGGCTCAGCACAGTGTCTCGGGTACTGCAGCCCACTGCAGAGCAACTTCGGGTCATCTTGTTACATGGGGCTCCACCTCCAGGCTTCCCACGACAGCTTGAATCTCGATAAATTTAGCTCCGCCCGTTGACTCCGCGTCTTCGACCTTTATTTATGAGGGAAGGCGGGCTTTACAGGCGAGGCACTCCCACTCTGCCTGTCTGTAGGCTCACCGGTTGACGCCCTAGCCAATCACAGAGCATGGCGTGTCGTAGAGGCCAATCGGAAAGGTCAGTGGCATTAAGACTTGCTCTTGACCGCTCCTTCTCGGCCTTTGGGTGCGTGGTGGGGTTAGCAGTAACTGGATTGTTTTCCTACTTGGGATCAATCCGGCGCCATCGTGCGTTTTGTGAGGCCAGTTCTGAGAATATGAAGCAGAGAGGAAGGGCCAAAATTGAGGCGAATATGAGGCTTGCGGATGGGACTTCAGGTGCGATCTCTGAAACTGGAGGGTATGTATGGCAAAGGATATGATGGGGACAAATAAAACGTGGTGCCCTACATGTTGAAGACAGAATCTGGGCAAAAGTAAAATGATTTACTGGGCTGCAAATCATTTTCCTTTTACTTAATCTTGTAGTTCTCTGATTCGGAGACAATGTAGGAGATGTTGTCATGGTTGGCGTTAAAAATGTGATTTCGGAGGAGCTTGAGCGAAGAGTATGAAGTGAGCATGCTCTGACTTTTTTAATTCAAAGAACCCCTTTCAGAAAGCTACTTTGCTACGACGAGGGAGTCAAGGAAAAAAGGTAAGTTTTCCTGGGGGTTTGGGAAGCCTTCAGTGCAGTGCAGTAGCAGTCATGGAGGCACTAGAGAAAGGGCAGTCACATCATTTTGGTTGGAAATGGGGCACTCGTAGGTTTCAGAATTTGAGATGGTCAGTTTCCAAGGAAGAAAGAAAATAGGCCAAATGAGGGCATAATATTTTTGTCTTTGAAAAGTATAGCCGTAGCATACCAAGTGGCTCTTTTTTAATCCTGCATCGTGTTGGAGGCCACGTTTAGAAAACAGCAGTGTTAATCTAGCTTACATAATTCCAAATTTCCAGACCTAAAAGATTGATTGCTTCTTTTTTTCCTTTTTGATTATTTGGTCTAGATTCCAGCCAAAAAGATTCGTATCAAGGTATTATTTATTTATATCTACTTTCCATTATAATGTGTTTATTTCTTATCTGAATGAAATTAATAGAGATTTGCTTATGTTTTATTAAAAATTATGGCGTAGAGATAGTTTGAACTTTGGAAAGATTAATATCTGGGGAATGGGCAGAGCAAATGTTTTTTGGCTCTTAAGATGTACAACAAAGACTAGAAGCTGGGTAAAAATATTGGGGCAGTTTGTTGGACTATTATTAATATTGAGTACTATTCTAGTACTCAATGAAGACCTGAATTAGGCTAAATGGAAATAGTAACATTGTTTTAAATTACCTTTAAGGAAAAAATTGGTTGCCTTATATATTTGTAACAGTAAAAGAGATAAGTACCATATAATTAACAGATTTAATGTATACAGTTCAGTTAGACTTTAGTATTTGCTCAGAGTTGAGCAACTATCACTGAACTGAATTTTAGAGCACTTTTTTCTTTTGATATAGTATGGGGTCTGACTATATTGCCCAGATTGGTGTCCAAGTGAGGTTCAAGTGATCCTCCTGCCTCAGCTTCCAGAATTGCCTTGGACTATGGGACCCTTGCCTGGCCCATATGAGAACATTTTTATCACCCAAAAAAGAAACCCCATTCTTTTTAGCTGTATCTCCCCTCTCTCCTGTCCCTCCAGGCAACCAATTTACTTTTCTTTGTGGACTGAACTGTTCATTGTACTTCATCTAGATAATAAACTAACATGAGAAATTATGTTACTGGCTTCTTTAATGTACAATGTTCTCAGAGTTCATCCATGTTGTAACATGTATCAGTACTTAATTATGTTTTTATCACTGAATTTTTTCCCATTGTATAGATATACCACATTTTATTTATCCATTAGTGATGTACATTTGTGTTAACAGTATTTTTGGCTATTATGAGTAAGGATGCTGTAAACATTAATATACAAGTTTTACACGGCACGGACTAAGTTTTTTTGGTTTTTTTTTTTTTTTTTTTGTGCTGGGGATTGAATCCAGGGGCTTGTGCATGTAAGGCAAGCACTCTATCAACTGAGCTATATCCCCAGCCCCATAAGTTTTTGTTTCTACACTTAAGAATGGATTTCTGGGTCATATAGTAATTATATTTAACTTCTTGGAGGAGTTTCAGGACTATATTCCAAAGTTACTGTACCATGTTACATTCCCACTTGAAGTGGATGAGGTTTCCAGTTTTGCCACAAAAATCATAAGCCTCAAGTATTATCCCATTGTGGTGGTTGCCTTTTTTTTTTTTTTTTAGGATTCAAAACTTTGTAGGGAACCCACTAGAGGATGTTCCTTGAGTCCAAAGACAATGTATAAGGTGATTTTCAGTCCTTGGCACATGTGTTTCTGCTATAATGTTAAATGTGTTCCTGAAGAAAAGAACTTAATTTCAGCAAAGTTATTCATTTGAAAGTTTACAGAAAAAAAAAACAGGATTAAGGTAGACTACTCAAAATCTATGTAAATTAAAATCACTGGGGGGGGGCGGGGAGGGGGGGAGTGATTGCTACCTGAAGAGTGCATTTATGTTCCTACCCAATTTTAGGTAACTTCAAAGCAAAAAAGCCACAGCAGGCATAAAATGGAAGGACTGAGACATTGGGAATGGAAGTGGAGTTCTGGGCTAATGTGTTCTTAAAATGGTTTACAGCTAATATAACCAGTTGAGAGCCTGAAAAAAGAGATGGTGATTCAGGTGGTTTGGGAGCCAGTTAAATATCTGAAGTGAGGGCTGTTTTCTTTCCTGCTTAATTGGATTACAGTGGTCATGGCCCTCCTAGGAAAGATGAAACAAAGTGGTTCTCACATTATTCTGACAGTTTTCTTGAAGAAAAAATTAGATACACGAGAGCATGTATATACAAATAAGCAATCTCCTTTATTAGGTGTATTCTTTGTAGTGTGTGTGTGTGTAGTAATATATATAGTATGTATCTTGCATATGTATATGTAATACATTTATATAAATTACTGAAGTGATGCTGTGTTCTTTTTTGAAAATTTGTAGAACATTTATAAGAAAGTTCATTTTATGGTTAGAGTACTCTACCTTGTGTTCTTTTTTTCTAGCTTTTTCTTCTAATTTTTCTAGGTGGAAGTGGTAATTACTAATTGTAAACAAGTTACTGAGAACTGACTGTTCTATAGTAGAATGTCAGATTTACTTAAATATCATGAGCCTATTTAAAAAAACAATAAAACTCACTTTACAGAAGCCAGAAAGAAGAGGTCACTGCTCTAGATAGTCTCAGAATACTTCAGTATAGGGAAATATTTAATAAAACTTTTTTGTGCCTTTTGTTTTTTAGTGGTGATATTGAGGCTCTCAATTTGTTCATTTGGTTATATGTTTCTTTTAGTGACTTCATATCCAGTGATTAAATCTTTTCACTGCTGTTCACATAATGAACCGTTGTGATTATTGAATACTTAAATGAGGATATGTAAGCCTTATTAAAGATGGTGTTAATTGTAAAAGGCATTGACCATTGCACAAAATAATTTAAAAATACCTCTTTTTCAGGAGATGATGGGAAAAGATGTGGATCTTGGATAAGAAGTCTAGATATGCAGGGAAGGTAGTATATTTTTCTGTTTTATGTCCTGAAACTATAGCAGCAACTTGGAAAAGGAGGATTGTCCAAGTAAAAAATGGATTTGTAAAGACTGGTGTTATCTTATTACCTATTTTATGGTAGAGTTTATTGGCTACATAGGGAAGAATAACAATGCTTATTGATCAGTTACTGTGTACCACGCATTGAGCTAAGCTTGAGGGTTGTTTTTTTAAACCTATTTGTTTCTTATAATAACTCTATAAAAGCAGACATATTTTAATTTCTAAGCCCAGTCTTTTGCTTGTTAAGCATATCTTTTCTTCAGATACTTGGCTAATTCTACTAGAACTTTCCAATTTGTTGTCCTACTATAACTCATTTTTGCTGAATTTTTCATCTTTGAGTTCGCTATGTTTTTTTTTTCTTCAGAAAGTATTTAGAGTTTGAAACTTTTTGGTGACCAAATTTAAATACAGTCCTGAACCTTTTCACTTAATATTTTGCTCTTTGGATACAGATACAGATTTTGTCCTCTTAGTTAACTTTAGTAGGTCAAAATAACAAACTCTTATTATCCCACTGTTTTTGTGGATCACTATTCTGGGAATAGAAGTGAGTTATTTTGGCTCAGTGTGGTCTAATGACATGACAGTCATCTGAAGTCTTAATTTTTGGGAGAATAGGGCAGCTTCTGAGCGCTCTACTTCTTTGCTGGCTAACGTCTAAAGAATTTAGTTCTTTGCCATATGACCCTCTTCATAGACTATGCCTTCCAAACCATAGCAGGTAGCCTCCCCCAGAGGGCAAGATATAAGAATAAAATACCAAGATAGAAACTTTACTTTTAAAACTTGATCTAGGAAGCATATACCATTTCATCTTTCCTCTTCTGTTATTCATGGAGACCAATGCTGATACATAATAGGAATGGATTATACAGGGGTGTGAATACCAGGAGTTGGTGGTAGGGTATCATCATGGACCCCACAATGATATCATATATATTTTTTTTAACTTTAAATTTATTACATCAAAAGGATTTAGTAGTTGACTCAAGTAAATTAGGTGTATAAGAGCATGTATATCCAAATAAGTAAGTTTTATTATTTCTTGTGCGTATGTAGTAATATATACGTAGTATAAAACTTGCATATGTGTATATGCTACATATATCATAAACTACTGAAATGATTCTGTGTTCCATTTTGAAAATTTCTAGAACATAATCAAATTCATCTTACAGAGTACTTTACCTTGATCATATTTTTTAAACAGCTTTTTCTCTTACTTGTTCTACGTGCATGCGGTAGAAGAAGCTGATGAGAACTATACTATAACTAGAAATTTGGTTTCTTTAACCCAGTATT